AATTTATTTGTTAGCATGGGTATATTCATGATTACAGAACAAGATCAACTAATGATATATACATTAAAAAAGTGAATTATTTGAAATCAGGGCATCATTATTGTATAAAGGTTTCCAAGAATATAATGAACTGCCCAGGGGCTTGAAGGATTGTAATTCATAAGCAAGTTTTAAAAAAAAATTGACAACTTTTATTAAAACTGATAAAATTTGATTTTAACTTTATATATTTGATTACTACTTTTGTATTCTTCTTTTTTAATATTGGGTTCATGCTTTCAACTGTTATTTGTTTTATTGTTAATTAAGGCTGTCTAAACTCAAGATTAAAAGTATCTTTGTAATGTGTAACAAATTTATTTTTCTTAACTCAGATTATGTTAATGTTAATAATAATTATCTTTAAGTTTTAAGTGTGCTGTATTTGTATAATATTTTTTTTGTATATTAGGTTTATCCTACTTCAATAAATAAATATATATCTATAGTTTCTATTACAGTCAAAATATTACTCTAGACGACGACGATGAATCAAATACAAAATAACTTAGACGCATTTTGCAAAATTATAAAGTTGATAAAAATATAGTACCAGGATAGTTGGAATTTCCATGTGTTTATTTGCATTTTTATAATTTTTTAACACTTTTCTTCGAAATGCGGCGCTTTTTTAAATCTTTTTCCAGCGTGAGATATCCATTTTGTTAACTTAAGTTAGTTCACTCGTAAAACGGCTTTTCTTAAGAATTCAATAAAATTTAAATATAAGGTTTATGAAAGTGTCGTTTACGTAACTAAAAAAAAAATTGATTTTTTGACCGTCTGTGAAACGAGATATTAACAATCAAAATGTGCATAATTAACACTCTTGAAGCCTATCATGTACACAAGCAATGCATTTATTTCAAGATATCTCGAAAACGGTTCTTACCATATGCTTTAAAAACTAATCAAGTAGTTTTGACGAGTAGTTTCGTAAAATTATTACAACTTGGCAACATTGTAGCCACTTCACGTATCAAAGTAACATTCGATCAGCTAAGAGGTTGTTATAAACTCGCGACGTGTTCTTGAAAAATGAATTCGTCCACTGTGTTTGAGAACTGGAATCAGCGGTTCTGTTTGAACCAAAACAAACCCTTAAAATTAGTATGAGGAAGTCACAAATTTCTATACCATATGGTTTAAATATTTGCGAGTTTGCCGGTTGAAATTGAATAAAATTATAACATGTCCATATGTGTTTATATACATGTGTTTTGTACAGTCTCTTACAAAAATAAAATTGAGTGAACTACCTTAAACATCAACAAGCCAATAACATGTTAAAAAGAAATAATGAAATATTTCAAATTGACTCTATTAAACCAGTGGCAGGAATATTTTTGTGTTCTTTAAGAGCATTTTTACCTTATTGATGTTTTTTAAGTGTTACTAATACAGCAGTAATAAAGACATTTAAAGGATACCTTGTAATTGCTACGTTTGCTCCCTTAATAGTTCGTTGTAGCTGCAATGAGAGTATTTTATGTTTGTTGAAACAATATTGCTTTATACATGTTGCACAAATTGCCTTAACAAGAAAATGAGGTGACTTCCCTTATAAGAGATGAATATATATAACGAATGTATCTTACTGTTATATCAAACCAAGGTTCGAAAATATGATATTTAGATAAATATCAGTTTTAAAATTTAATTATTTAATTAAAAACAGTATTGTTTCTTGCACAAACTATATTTTAAATTTTAACACAAACATATTAACAAAAACTTATATTCTAAATAACAAAACCATTTATTCTAACCCAAATTAAAAAGAAAAAACAAAAATTTATAAAATTAACAGATTTTAACATTATTTTGTTAACATTAATATTTAACACAAACACATATTAATCGCTAGTTATTATACTTTTATACAGGGGCGTATTGAGACAAATAAAATTATCGAATATATCGGATATATATCAAGATATAAATATCATGATATATATCACTTGTTATATATCCTCCGAACCCTGTATCAAACAGCATGCTTTATAAATTTGTACATTTTTAAGCTATTGCATAGCTTTTATCGCGGGCTTTGAGCGGCGACCGAATCAAGAAATTTCGTAACATCGTAACGAAAATAAACCTAACCGACCGGCCCAGCGGTGCGGCGTTAAAGCCTTGGAAGGTTTTATCCGACCTTATTCGTATTAGTATGAAGCGGAGTTAAATATACGTCTGCGGACTGGAAAATTTATGCAATACAAGAACTAGAAGAGCTTTCTCTGGCTTCTAATAAATTGGTATCACAAATGTTCCCGGCTGGCGTAAATATTTATTCAATTAAATTGAAGGAAAGAAGCTGTTTGTATTCGCTTTCTTTGAAGGAAAGAAAGATGAAAGATGGTGTCAAGCGTTTTCCAGATATTTTAAAGCAGTAATTTTTAAAATGCCTACAACATTTGTGGATATTACCGCTTTTGATTAAAAACATTAAAATTTTAGAACTGTCAATAATTGTCAGTAATTAAATTAGCTGCAATGTAGAAACTGACTGCAATCTGACCAATAAAAAGTCTACAGAGTTGCCAACTTAAATTCAAATCGCTTATCCTAGTTTAAAAACAGATTATAAGAGCAATGATTTATCTGTTCAATGCACATACTTTGTCGAAGTATGTGGTTCAATGTGAGAAACAATTTTCAACATTGATGACGTGCAACGGAAATGTCAATGCAATGGTATTTATTTATTTCTTTTATTTTATTTATTTATTTATTTATTTGGACATAAGCCCTTTTGCAATATTTACAATTTTCTGACTTCTTGACTATATATTATAGTTTATACAAAACAAAGTTGCACGTCACGATAAATAAATATACGTCACAAATAGACAGTGTTGCCGAACTTTTATAAAGTTTACAAAATCTAAGAATTTCCTAAAATTGCCAAGAACGATTTCTAGAGATGAAGTACATTTAAAAATAATAATTCTCATAAACCTTCATTTAAAAGTGCCTATTTCGGATTAAACTATTATAAGTCGCACATTTTGTCTTGTCTTTTAAGCTATTGCATAGCTTTTATCGCGGGCTTTGAGCGCGGCGACCGAATCAAGAAATTCCGTAACGAAAGAAAACCTAACACCCCCCACTCCGACCGGCACAGCGGTGCGGCGTTGAACAATATTAACTTCTCATTTATTCAATAAAAGACAATCGAAAATTCGAAAAATCGAAAAATCCAAAAATCGAGAATGAAATTCCGTAACGAAAATAAACCTAACACCCCCCACTCCGACCGGCACAGCGGTGCGGCGTTGAAAGCCGTGCATTGTCTAACGTCGTTTCAGTTCGGCAGACTTTGGCACGGTGTTTGTGTGCCTGCGATTAGACGTATGCATGGTGACTAGCTGCTAACTGCTCATAACTGATTCTATCTCTTTTAGACACAATTTCGGAAAAATTGAATTTGAAAATGAATAATGATTCACAAGAATCCACAACAAAATATGGGACCACCATTGACGCGGTATTTTCCAGATATTTAAAGGATATCAAGTCTCAAACTTAGGTTCCTTATTTCAGTTACCATAAATCTATAGTTTCAATGAATAACCTACATGTATTGTAAGATAATAAAAATATTTTACCAAGTGTCACACGTATTTTTTTATATTTATATTTACCTTCAAAATGTTACTAAAGACAAATACAAAACCGTTATAAATCAAAAAGCCTTAAAAAAGAAATTGGTGTTATAGATACGACTTATAGCTGTTCTTAAGAAATACCTACTGAGTATCTCTTATAAGAAAAATTTATAACATATAATAAATATGCTGTAAGAATATTTATAAAACTAACTGGGTTATGATCCACAAGTCATGTTATTTTTAACAGACACGTTATTTGTAAACAGGTTGTAATTTCTATGTGTTCATAAAATAACAGACCTGTTAAAAATAACACAGATGGTCAATCATAACCCCCAATATTATAGTGGTATTTTGTTTTCAACAGCTAAATTGCATCATTTGCTATATTTGTGAGTCAATATTGAATTTCTGAAACAACTATAAAACCTTTATAAGAATTGAATGTTCTATAATTCAAAGGTTATAAGATTAGTGTGTTGGTTGGGAGGTACTTAGTCTTTCGAACTTTACAGATTAATACTACTTTTATAACTTGACAATTCCTCTAATCAAATAAATATAAAGTCAAGTAGGTATATACTTACTTAAGTCATCATATTACTATAAAGTAAAATACCTAGGTACCTAGCTAACATAGGTTAAAAGTGATATTTTTTCCATTAAATAATTTCAAAACAATTATTTATTATATGCAAATATGCAATGCAAATTATAGTAATATTTGATATATCAATTATTATAAAATTGAACACCTAACCCTTGTTAAATGCAATTTATGAAATTAAAATTTAAAATAAAAATATATGAAACAAATTATAAATTATAACGGAATTGCGCATGAATTCATGAATTGTTATCCCGGAACATAATAATAAAAACCATTAGGTATTTGCTTATATAATTATTTTACATTTTAACTAAAAACATGTAAAATAAAATGCACAAACCACATTATATTTTGTTAGTTACATATTTAAACAAATTTAAATGGGGACACCAAACACCAATAAAGACGTAAAATTAGACAACTTCCTAATTTGATTTAACAAATTAAAAGAGAGCGGTGGAAATCACCACTTAGTAGTCAATCGACGCTAATATTTAAAAATATAAGCAATTAAATCAACAAAAATTCGCAAACGCAGATAACAGGTAATTTATTATTCAGTGTTTATCGACTTGTGTATGTGACAATACGAATCCAAACCAAATAAAAAAAATGCTGGATTGGATTTCTTTGAATTCATACAAGAGTTAATTATCCACATTTTTCAACTTCATGTAACAACATCATCACATGATGTAAGTAACACAAAATGTAAAAAAAATAATAATAATACTTACTTCGTTTAATGGCATCATCGTAGCTCAAGCAACTCCGTTTAGAATCCTTAGCACCCATTTTTTACATTTTATTTACGCATAACAACATTTTCTCGACGGAATTCCACAGTTATTACACAATTTACAACAATCACTAAAATGACAAGACAACAAGACAACTAATTTATGTCAACGAAGTCGTACGAATTCCAAATAACAAACACCCACTAACCAATCACCGTTCAGTCCACTGATATAATCAAAACCAACAATGACAGTTATTTATCCAATGGTGCTAATTATTTTTAGTCACGTGATTTTTACTAACCAATAGAAACGATATTGAAATTTTAGATTATTGCAAAAAACATGTTTCGTCAAACGTTATTTTAACGTATACAAAAGTAGTAATTTTTACATCCGATAGTTTTCATTTGTATCGATTTTATTATTTAAAATAATTATTTTAACATAGGAATAAGTTACTAAAATTACGTTGGATAAACTGAAAAATACACTGTCAGCAGTGACAGTGACAACTGAACTGACATTTACGATTTATGACATGAGCTGTCATTGACATTTCTATTTAAACGTCAAAATAATAGGCGTTTTTGTTGCAATTATCAAGACTACAGATTCTATAATTTGTTTAATTGTTAATCATTTCTTGGTAATTTGTAAAATATAAACGGTAATTAAGATCTTTTATGTGATTACTATACATATTCTATACTGTAACTAATACAAACATTTTAGGTTAAAATGACCGACTCAAAATATTTTACAACTACTAAAAAAGGAGAGATCTTTGAATTAAAATCTGAACTCAATAATGACAAAAAGGAAAAGAAAAAGGAGGCTGTTAAAAAGGTAAAGAAAAGAGCAACATTTGGGAATTTTTCACTGAACTGGAATAATTGTAATATGATACTCAAAAATTAGAGTACTTAGATACTATTGTATGCTTGAAAGTAAATTAATAAAGTAGGTGAAAAAACAGAAACCCGTAACTCTCAAAGTACTCATTGTTAGGGAGAGTATAAATTACAGACTTAGGACTATTTGAGAAAATTGTGTTACATTTTATTGTTCCTAGCTTAAGTTTAATTCCCTGGATAAATAACATATTCGCATTTAAGTAGTTTTAATTTGAGAGTGTGACTTTATGATATATATTAGGTATGAGCCACTATAGATCTCATAATGGGTCAATTAGAAGAGTATGTATTGTCACACTTAAGCTGGATTTATAGACTTCCTTCAGTTCACTTTCAACATAAATAAAGCAGAATGACACGGTAAGTATGTTTTGAATAAGAAATTATAACGGATTTATAATTATTTTATAACCAACACCATCTACAAATATAATTAAAACAAAAATAACAAAATATAATTTATTTTGTGGAATTTGTGGTTATGTCTTGTCAACTCAAACTAAGCGCCAACTGAATGTAGTTTATAAATCCAGCTTTATTTTTAACCTAACTGAAGTTCTAGGTTTCTTGACAACATTAATAACCGCTTTCTTTAACTATCAGGTTTTATTTTACTCTGGTTCTCAACTGGTCTTAACTTAAATGCAAATATGAATATTTTGTTTGTACTCTTCATTATACAATAATTTTAATAATTTATTTTAAAACAAATAATTTCTCTAGATACTACCTACATTGCATATATTTTAGGTTATTGCTTCTATGACAGTTGGAAAAGATGTTTCAGCATTGTTTCCTGATGTTGTTAATTGTATGCAGACAGATAATTTGGAGCTCAAAAAGTTGGTTTATTTATATTTGATGAATTATGCGAAATCTCAACCTGACATGGCTATTATGGCAGTGAATACATTTGTTAAAGTAAGTATTAAAAAATATTACAAATCTGACTTGAACAATATGTTTTACCACTGAAAATATTTGTTAATATCAAGTATAAAACTAAATTTTTTTATTTAAAAATCAAAGAGAATAGATTGTATCCAGCAGTCTTATCAATTCTCTCAAGTTTATATATTTTTCAGCAACCTGAGTGTATAATAATATATAATATTTAAAACTAAATTATATAGATATTTATTAAATTTAGATAATTTTTATTAGGATTGTGAAGATCCCAATCCTCTTATTAGAGCACTTGCTGTTAGAACCATGGGTTGCATCAGAGTAGATAAAATAACTGAATACTTGTGTGAACCTTTAAGAAAGTGCTTGAAAGATGAAGATCCATATGTTAGAAAAACTGCAGCTGTTTGTGTAGCCAAGTTATATGATATCTCCTCAGGTAAGAATAATTAAAAAAATAAATCTTAGTTTTGTACTACTACTAATAATTTAGTACTTACCAAATTTGTTTAGCTGCTATATGTATTGTAGATCATTGGTATTAGAAAACTTATTTTTTTAAGATTTTTTTTTGTCTTTACTATTAAGCATTCTAAACAAAAAAAAAAAAAAAATAGTGGTGGGAAGGTTTGGTATGTTTAAAGGGCTATGATATATGATGGATTCTTTTTACAATATGTGAAATCATGATTAATGGAGTGAATTTGAATTTTTTATGTCGAACACAATGGAAATATAAAAAAAAAACGCTTTTACGTTTTAAGTGGCAGGCTTGGCGACTACTATTTCGAATAAAAATAGCATCAAAGATGGAAAGCTATGTCGCAACAATCTTAGATATATGAGCCCTTCCCACTGCCAGTTATTGTTTGACTGGAATGCCTAATAGTTTGAGTGAACATAAATCTTACAAGATATATACGTAGAGGTTGAACTATTGAAAAAATAACTGTTTAATTTCTGAAATGATAACATAAATTTAATGGAAGTTATTTGGCCCATGTTCAGCAAGTAAACTGCTTAGATTTTGATCTAGTTTTCTGCTTTTTTAGCTTTTGTTAAACATTGTATTATATTGTTCTGAGCTATTTTTACAGAAAACTATCAATTGTATATAACAAATAAATCTGTTTAATAGAGTTGTCATATTTATAAGTTATCATTAGAATAGTTACCAACACAAATCCCAAACAATAAAATTGACTCTTATTGCTAATATTTTTTAAAACATACTTCTCCGGATTTTAATATAACAAGTTGAAACAAGCAAGTTTTATTTTTAGGTTTAGTTGAAGATCAAGGATTTCTGGAACAACTAAAAGAATTATTGAGCGATTCCAATCCCATGGTAGTAGCAAATGCTGTTGCGGCTTTATCTGAAATAAATGAAAGTAGTCCTACTGGACAGCCACTTGTTGGTAAGTTAATTTAAATACAGTCTAAAATAAACAGTACCTACGTAGTAGAACATAATTATGAACGACTACCAGATGTCACCTTTCTAGAGACATGACCAAAGAAGCAGTCTTCAGGAATACACCACAAACCATCAATGAATTAAAGAAGCTCTTTCAAAAAATCAAAGAGGGGGTCTAATTTCTTAAAAAAAAAAAAAATAGAAGAATAATAAGTTCAGTACTGTTTATTTTGGGCCATACTGTAATATGAACTTTATACCATTGAAAATCATTTGTTGTAAAATTATTATAATGCAGAAAACATTGATTTATTTATAATACAGACAGTGGCTTAGTTTATTTTAAAATTGTCTTGTTGACCATTTTTTTTTTTGTATTTAAGGCCGATCTTTTCACCTCTGAGTAAAGTTATGTGTAGGTTTGCTTGACAGAATAACAAAGAATAGCCCTATAGTTTAATCAGCAAGTAGTTACTTTCAGCTTTACTCAGGTGAAAAAACTGGCCCTTAGACTTACAAATAACTTCCAAATCTATAAATATTTCCCTACCACTGCAGTGATTTTTATGCTTTTTATAGCAGACATTTAAGAAAGGTGATTGTTTCTTTTTACAACCAAAGCCTTCATTTAAGTTAATAATAATAAAAAAATGCTTTTATTGACATTGTACATGCAGCATATGTGTCAATTGGGAGGGTTCAGTGTTCCTTCATGGCAAATGAACCGCCTTCAAGTAACTCTGCTGTTCCATCCATGTAAATCTTCTAATTTTTGTACAAGTACACCTTAATTAATCGACCTACCAAATTACCTAAAACTAAAAATAAGAGAACACAACAAAATATATTGTATTAAATTATTGGTGGTGTAACACAATTTAGTAAATCAATTTTCAAACGTTTCTTAAATTTAAATTTATTAGTGCAATTACCATATTTGTCACAAAGCTGGGTAAAAAGCTGAACAATTTGACATGAAAAAGCAGGTGTTTAGTGGACTGGTATAGTTAATATATTTTTCCAAAATAATCAAATTTGTGTATGTTGGATCCATAAAAATCACCACAATTTGATACAGGGTGTCCCAATAGTGTGTGGAAGTTCGATATATCCTATATTATAGTGTTATTCAGTAATAAATTGAATAAAAGGAAAAGGTGGTATCTTGTAAATTCACAGAAGGTAATTTCAATTCCTGTCAATAATAAAAAGCTCAAAATACTGTATTAAATGATTCTTCATGGTTCTATTTTTTTAAGGTGGATGCAAACCTAGTGTTGCTTTCTTGTTCACCATCGAAGTGAATAACCTTCCATCACATTCAAATTGTTATTAGAAAAGGCCACTGTTGTCAATAGTTTAAAGTTCTAATGATTTGAGGGTGTTGATCCGTCTTTGAATTAAAAACATTAAATGTGTGCTTTTTATAAATAATAGTGAATAGATATATATCGAGTGCAAAGTAACCAGAACATTATATTTTCATATTCAACTGCAAAGTTGCTTTCTAAGAAACAATGGGTTTTTTTGTGTGGATTCTCTAAATTTTAAAATAAGGAAGTTCAAATATTAGAAGTTTATTTTTGATGAACAAGAACTAAATGATAATATGAAGCCAGGAAATATTTTTTGGAAGTGTTATATATTTATAATGAATTCAAATAAAAATAAGTTTTGTTGTTTCTTTATATTTATCAATTGCCTATTACCTTTAATCAAGTCTTTTAAAAAGGTTTATTTATGGTAAGACACTTTACTGTATAGGTATAGTCGAGACATTTACTTCTGTTGAGTTTATTGATGTCCCAAACTATCAGAATTAAAAAAAACTTAAATGATTTGCATATTTTAAAGGAATGGTACTTTAATTGCATCTGTTAGCTTTTATTAAATTCATATTAATAATAGAAACGTATATAAACATATTATATAATATATAAGTTTAATAAATTAGTTTTTGTACCTATCGTAGGTAATTTATTTATACATTCCTGTTTAAAAAGAATACAATAAATAACAGACAAGCTTTATTTTAATCGTTTAAGCAATTAATAACATTTATATATGGGATGACAAAACAATTCAAATTTCAATCCTTTTTGGCAGTTAAAGAGCCTTTAATAGGAATTTTAGGTGATATATTTATGAGGCACATCTTATTTTATTGTCAAATTTTTACTCATAATTTTGAAATTGATCGTTTTCTACATCTTTTTCCACCTAAAAAATAAAACAAACTAATTAGTACTCTCTCAGACTAGGTGTTAAGTAAAAAGATAGGTAAGTAGGTACCTTTTAATTCAAACAATTCAAGAATATCTTACATCAAAATAAATATAAAAGCACGATGGTAGTTTGTGTTTTGCAACAGCCCTTAGCCCACTATCGTTTTTGAATGTCTAGATTTTGAGGAACTTTTGTAAACATTTTATCAGATTGACTGTTTTTTTTTTATTTCTCATAGGGACCAAGTACTTGAAAATATAACCAGATATTTTGAGAAAAGAATACATCATAATTTTAATCCCAATTTAGAAAGAGATAACTACATAAATGTCACTTTTAGAAAAAGATAACGAGTAACTGTATGTGTTATGGTATCACAGATTATTTAGTGACCAATAGAAATAGGCGCTTCATTATGACGCGATAAATGGCGCAAAAATAGTTTTTTAAATAATTGATTTAAAAGTGAACTTTTTAAAGTAATAACTTTATTATTTATTATCTATTTAAAGTATATATTGCTTAAAAAAAGTTTTTTGTGCTTAAACAGTTAATAGCGTTAGATTCGTCAAATTCGTTTACACTAAACACTGTCAGCACAGTAAAGCATATCAAAAACTAACGGCATCTTGACAATTTTCGTTCCATCTACATTTATTCTCAATTTTCTGGATTTTCTCATATTTTTCTGATGATAAGTTAAAGAAAAAGTAACGCAAATGAACGTATTATACATTTTTAAAACAGTGCTTCAAAGAACTTTCATTTGATACCCAACAGGATGTCAACCAACATTTTTTCCAATTGTCAGTTTAACCCCCTTTCAAAACTGACCCCCTAACTACAAAAACTACTTTCAGGCCTTTACTTACTACAACTGTTTTAAATTTCAATTGTATATGTTAAAAAATATTTATGTGAAAGTGTCCTTTACTTTTTATAAATCATTGGTTTTAGATTAATATTATTTTATCTAATATTATCTTTTGTAATGTTAGAAATTCCTCGTCCTCGGTATTCGTTTTGTTTTAAAATCGAATGTTAAGTAATGTTCAATTTTCTCATTTAAATGTAGGATCTATTTTTAATGCGTTTCATTTAATTGCTGAATATTTAAAGAATAAAAAAATTGATATATTTTGAGTTACAGAGACTTGGTTAAACGCTCAAAATGACTATGATAATATTTTTATCAATCATTACCAAATTGTAAGAGTTGATAGAGATGGCGGAGGTGACGGTGTCGCTTTTTACATCAACTCAAACATTCCTTTTAAATTTAAATTTTCTAAATTTCTCCTAATTTAGAACAACTTTGGATCTCTACTAAATGGTGCGGTAAAACTTTTATTTTTGGAGTTATATATCGCCCTCCTGCATCTTATCTTGTTGACTTTATTGGTTAATTGGACGATATTGTCGCTAATTTATTACCAAAATAGAGGTCATGAATTGTGTAATAAATTTTCAGATGCCTTTTGGTCTTGAACAAGTAGTAAAATAGCCAACTCACTTTACTCCACGTGAAACACTCATAGATATTATTTTTGTATCCGATGTGAAAGAAATCTCTGGGGTAGAAGTATTTCATGTAAAAGGTTGTGGACTATCATATCATCAAGCAGTTTCTTGTATTAATTCATTTACTATGAAAAATAAAATTAAATATACCACTTACCGCGACTTTCCTAAGTTTTACTTACAGCTTTTTAATTTCGACTTAAATCCTATTAATTGGGATATATTTTACTCACTTGATAATGTTGATAACATGATCTCCTTTTTAAATGATTCTCTAATACATCTATTTTCCAGACATGCTCATTTCGTAACTAAAAGAGCAAATAAACCACCTGCTCCGTGGCTTACAGATACAATTAAAATTATGATCTCACTCAAAGCTAAAGTATTAAAAAATATAAACAAAATAAAACTATGTCTGCTTCGAGAAGTTACAATGAACTTTGAAACTACACGACTGGAGCTATACGGCGGGAAAAGAAGGCTTACCTTAAATTTGTCCTTAGACAAACAAAATTAAAAAAAAACCTGGAATTCTTTAAGATCTTCAGAAATCCTTTGGAAAAAAACGAGCCCAGATATTCCTGACAATCTAAAAAATGTGAATGATATAAATGAACATTTTAACTCTGCACCTATGACTTATAAATCACCTGATCAATTATCACTACTAGGTCGGTACACTGAAGTAGAATCACACAACTTATTCCAAATTGAAACCGTTACGTCAGGCATAGTCGAAAAATCACTTAATCGAATTAAAAGCAATGCCATAGGCCTAGACAATATCTCATTGCGTAAGCTTTATCTAGTTCAGGACTGTTTACTTAATCATATGACATTCATATTTAATTATATAATCTCCTCCTCCCAATATCCTTTTGCATGGAAACAAGCCCTAATCGTTCCTCTTGCTAATAAGTGTAATCAGGCAACGATTTTTTTTTTTATTTAAGACCAATCAACCTTCTACCCATTTTATCAGAATTATTTGAAGTAATTATCATAGATCAAATTACTAGGTATGTTTATCAACGAAACATAACTCAACATCAGTCAGGTTTTAGACGCCATCACAGTACTACTACCGCTCTTCTGTCTATTAGCGATGATATTTTTAAAGCAACCGATCAAGGGAAAATAACATGCTTGGTTCTTCTCGACTACAGCAAGGCATTTGATATCCTAGATCATGACTTACTCTGTAAGAAATTAAACTTTTTCGGCTTTACAAAAAATGCAGTCTCCCTCATATCAAATTATCTTAGTAATCGCACTCGTAAAGTAATTTTGGATGGCAACATATGAATTTCCTACCAGTGCCAGGGGTGCCACAGGGTTCAATTTTGGAACCAGTCCTATTTGCTCTTTACATTTCTGACTTTCAAAGCTTTGTTCAAAATTGTGCGATTCACCATTATGCTGACGATACACAGCTTTATTGATCTTTTGACAAAGAGTAGCTGGGTAACTCAAGTCTTCATCTTAATGAAGACTTGAATTCATTATTTAATATATCTACTGCTGACAACTTAAAAATAAATGCGTCTAAATCTACAACAATGCTATTTGGTGCAAAAAAAATATAAAATTAACTGTAGCTCAATTACAGCTTACAATTGGTGGCAATGTTCTTCAGTTTTGCAAATAAAACCAAAAATTTAGGTCTGTGGATTGATTTCGAGCTTCAATTTACAAAGTACGTACATTCATTGTTGCAAAGTTGTTTTACTGTTTTGAGACAACTACACAAACTATGTTAAAACTTTGTGAATCTCTTATTTTTTCAAAGATATTTTATTGTGACTCTATTTACGGACCTGCGCTACTTCGATATGACTCTCTACGTTTACAAAAAATTCAGACCTGTTGCGCATATGGCATAAGAAAATTTGATCATATTTCACACAAAATGATCGAATCAGGACGGTTATCTTTAAATAACTACGGGACACTTCACTTATTAACATTAGTTCATAAGACATTAAAGCTTCAAAAACCCGATTATTTATTCAAAAAGTTAATATCGTTTTCAAATATAAATACATTATCTACGCGCAACAGAAACACCTTAGTCATACCTAAACACCAAAGAATATAACAAACTTAAGCCATACATAAGATTCTACAATTTAGTTAATTTTAAGAAACGTCTAAAAGAGTGTCTAAGAATAGAACCGTAAGTAATACAATTATTAACAACAAATTCATGGCAACGGTGTAGCATATGAATATTGATAGGTACCAAATTATTTAGCTAAAAAAATAAATAACCTGTATGTTTTTTATTGATCTTTTCTACGATTTAAATAACTATTTTTTTTTTTTGTTAGGATAAGTTGAAAAACATTGAAAACTGAACTTTTCATCATTTTTAAATATGTTTTTCCTCGCATTAATTATTGTTATTGTATATTTTCCTTTTTAACTGATGAATAAAGTCTATTATTATTATTAAATAGTCTGAGTAGAACACCTATGACTCCGAAGTGATTCCAAAGTGTCTTTTTTGCCAATAATTAAAATCGATTTTTCATCTTTTTTTTTCTATAGGTATATATATATATATATATTTTTTTTTTTTCAGAACTAAGTACTAACACCATAAACAAGCTCCTAACTGCTTTAAACGAATGCACTGAATGGGGCCAAGTTTTCATTCTGGATTCGTTGTCCAATTATACTCCAAGAGACGACCGTGAGGCTCAAAGTATATGTGAACGAATTACGCCTCGTCTTGCTCATGCTAATGCTGCTGTAGTCTTATCAGCTGTAAAAGTTTTGATCAAAATGATGGAAATTTTAGCAGGCGATACAGAATTTTGCAATACACTGAGCAAAAAGTTAGCGCCTCCTTTGGTCACTTTATTGAGTTCAGAGCCTGAAGTACAGTATGTAGCATTGAGGAATATTAATTTAATTGTGCAAAAGAAGCCCGATATCCTAAAGCATGAGATGAAAGTAAGCTGTACCTATTTTATTGTTTTTGGTTTAAGAATGTTCAATAAAAAGGGATAGTAGTTTTATAATTAAAAGAAATATAAAAAAGTATACGATGTATTAAATAGTTAAGTAGAAGGGGTTTTAATTGTTTCAAAGGCATTATTTATAACCACATGTAACGGTGACATTTTAGGTATTTTAGAAATAAATTTGTTTTAGGTATTTTTTGTGAAATATAATGATCCAATCTACGTAAAACTAGAAAAACTTGATATAATGATCCGTTTAGCATCCCAAGTCAACATAGCTCAAGTGCTTAGTGAACTTAAAGAGTATGCTACTGAAGTTGATGTGGACTTTGTAAGAAAAGCTGTTAGAGCCATCGGTAGATGTGCAATCAAAGTTGAACCTTCTGCAGAAAGGTGTGTTGCCACATTATTGGACCTTATTCAGACAAAAGTCAACTATGTCGTTCAGGAAGCCATTGTGGTGATTAAGGATATTTTCAGGTTAGTAATGATTTAAATGAGCTATTACAAACAATTGTCAAAATGTGAAGAATCTAAAATATATTTACAAAAAAAATGGAATATTTGAAATGATAACGAGAACTGAGAATTGCGTTTGGCAGTAAACCATTAAAATAATAAGGCATTTAACAAATTTAAATGTACTAAAAACCCGCAGCATTGGGATTATTATAAAAACTTAAAAAACTTTACAACTTCCGCTATAAGAAATGTGAAAAAGGCTTATCTAGAATACTGTATAAATAAGTCGAAAGGTAATAATACATTTTTTTGGAAGAAAATTAAAAGAATTTAATATACCTGGGAAAAATTACAATAATTCGAATCCTGTTAACCTTATTAATCCAAATGAAATTAATAATCATTTTTTAGATCCGTCGACATGTATTAAAGAACCAAACACTAATTTAATTGAATTCTACAGTAATAACTGAAAGGATAATTTACGTTCTATATTTTCCTTCAGTGTTGTCAGTACAACAGTTGTATATAAGTTTTTGATCGAAATAAAGTCTATAGCTTCGGGAGCAGATAAGTTAAATATTCACATGTTACCTCTTTGCTATCCTAAAATTTTACCTAAAACTAATATTTGCCTCACCGATTGCATTTTCCCACAATCTTAGAAGTTATCAAAAGTCTTTCCTTTGCCCAAAAAGAAGAACAAGAACACGTAACGAGTGTGAACAATTTGCGTCCCATCTCTATCCTGTCAGTGTTATCCAAAGTAATTGAAAAACTCATTAAATTTCAATTAAATATTCACTTAGAAAATAATGAAATACTTCCACTGTGACAGTCAGGTTTTCGTTCTGGCTATAGTTGTACTACAGCTCTACTTGATGTCACTGATGATCTCTTCAGAGACATTGATGCTAAAAAACAGCAGCACTTGTTATGATCGATTATTCCAAAGCATTTGATACTATTAATAATACAATTATACTCTCAATATTACATTTTATTTGTTGCTCTAATCATGTTATTAAACTATTTAATAGCTACTTTGATAACAGGGAGCAATTTGTAGTTACTGATGCAGGTTCATCAAATAACAGATTTCCTATGGAGTTCCTCAGGGATCATTACTTGGACTTTATTTTCACTATATACCTCAAACTTTGGGAATAGCATTAAGAATGGTAAGCCAAAATACTTTACCCACATCAACATATTCTTCCAACTTCAACAAAAATATTATTAACAGATTCCCTGGTTCTGAGTAATTTTAACTTTTGTGATACAGTGTATGGGCCCTGTTTAGATAGTGCAGACTTAACTAGAATTCAGATAGTACAGAAATCTTGTTTAAGATTTCCATATGGAATACGGAAATTCGACAGAGTCTCGCATAAACTCAAGGATTCAAACTGACTAGATATGAAATCCAGACGAGTCTTACACTCGGCAAATCTGTTTTATTCTATTATTTTAAATAAATCTCCTCGATATATTTTAAATAAAATAAGGTATCGTTCTGATGTTCATAATCTAAATCTACGTTTTTGTGGTTGTATCTCACCTGCAATACATAATACTGCTATTTTCAGGCGCTTTCATTTACATTTACGCTTTGTACAATGATATCCCAGAACGTTTTAAAGAAATGTCTGTAAAAAATTTCAAAAAATCTTATAAAAAGTTTCTTCTCAACACAGCAAAGTAATAGCGGATTATAGAGATTATAGATTATAGAGACAAACCTCACAATAAACAAAAACATACATAACATAAAACAACTTGAACAAAACACAAATGAATTTATTAATGTCGTACAAAAAGCTAGGAACGACACTACTAAAATCAAAACAAGGACTCAACATACCGACGACCTGCCACCCGAACTAACGGAACTTATAACAAGTAAAAACCACATCAGAAAAAGGTGGCAGACGCATAGAAAAGAAGACAGGGTTAGACTCCGTAACATAGCCAACTACATCAATTCAGAGATTAACTCTCATAGAAACTTAAAATGGCAGAAAACCCTGTCAGAAATCAATCCTATGGACAACTTACTGTGGAGAGTAGTGAAGGGTTTAAAGAAACCACAATCACTACTCCCCCCCACTGATACAAGAACAGAACACTTACACCTCAGACACATACAAAAGCCACGCCCTCGGTCAAACTTCACAAATAACACTCAAAACAATAGAAATCAGCAGATTATCGAGAATATGATCAATGAATTAAAGTTAACCCCCCCACAAGCTGTCCCACAAACTTTCATGACCTCTCTTAAAGAGGTAGGGGAAGTAATTAAAGGCATCAAAAACAGAAAAGCTTCAGGACCGGACGACATAAGCAGCATAATGCTTAAAAACATCCCTATTAAGGCGATTGTTCAACTTCATTACCTAATAAATGCTATTTTCAGGTTACAACACTACCCTAGTAGCCTGCAAATGGCAAACATAATCCCAATACTTAAACAGGGTAAAACCCCAAAAAGCATTGAAAGTTATCCACCCATCTCGCTACTACTAAACACAATAGCCAAAATCGCAGACAAAATTATTTAAAACAACTAAAACAGGTAGAAGAACAATGATAAATTATCCCGCAGGAACAGTACGGTTTCAGAAGCGGACATAGCACCATGGCCCAGGTCATTAGAATTGTGCATCACGCCAAAGAGGCGTTTAATAATGACCTACAAACGGTGCTAGTCGCACTAGACAGCGAGAAAGCATTCGATACCGTATGGGCCTGCGGGTTAATTCACAAGATGCTGGTGAATGAATTTCCAGTGTATATTGTAAAAATAATTCTGTCTTACTTACAGGACAGACAATTCAACGTTAAACTTAACTCAACAATCACAGGACCATACACAGTGCAAGCGGGAGTACCTCAGGGCTCGGTACTATCGCCGCATCTGTACACCATAATGACCCATGACATGCCAATGGGACATAATGGGGTACAGACGGCGCTGTACGCCGACGACACCTGCGTCTTCAAAAGTGACAGATCGGCAGAATCAGCGGTCAGGGACCTGGACGCTCATATAAACGACGCGTTAATCTCTTACCTGTGCTCTGCTCGATGGCCAACATTCACTACAATAAGTTACAAGTCGCTCAGAACAGGTGTATTAGGCTAGCCCTGGGCTATGATTGTTATGCACGAATTGCACATGCACGCAGAGACAGACATACCGTACATAAAACAATTCATACTGACGACAATTTCTACACGCGATGCCTCCCTGATCCTGTAAAGGAGAGCATCACGAACATATACAGAGAAGACAACGTGCGTAGAAAGCACGGGTGCACCCACGCAAAACTTGACATTTTCAGACAAAGACAGTAACATCCTCCACCACAGCGACAAATAAACTGACAACAATTCACACCGATCAGATACTCAAGTAATCTGGACGGACGGCGGACTGCACGGTGTATCGGCCGCTGGGACACAGACCAAAAGCCCTATACACTTTCGATCTGTGCCCGGGCGGAAGTTTCATCGTGCACCAAGCCAGTGTATTGGGACAATAACCAAAGACTACAAAAGACCAACGCACATACAAGGACAACCCTGTTTTTTACTAACTTTCTCCAGGGGACAATAACCACAACTAAGATAACTAAAAATACCTTTCAATTATCGATCACAAAACAAATCAAAATTTCTTAATAATACCGAAACGGTAAGGAGTGAGAACCGCATTTTCATAATAATAATCCCACAACGTTACTAACAGGCAGATATGTCTGCCATGGTCCTCGGGCCCGCACGAAGCCTAGGCCTAGTGTCGAATTGTTTTTATTATTGTGTGAACTGTAAATATATCTTAAATTGTAAATAAAGAATGTTCATATTTTGTTAAAAAAAATAATATTTGTATATATTGTTTTTGTACGATGTCTGTTGGGTTGGACTTATTGCAGGGCTTGTACTTTGATCAGACCCTACTGATCACCAGTCCTTTTTGCAGCCTTTTTTGACACGTTTTCTTTTTCTCATGTTTTATATCTGTATAAAACAATTGAAGTTGCAAATAAAGTTTATTATTCTCTTCGGTTTAATATTTTAGGTAGTTTTTTTTTTAAATATTTATAAATAACTTTAAGAGCAAACTGGATCTCTCATGAAAAACAATTTTTAAGGATTTTCTAATATAAAATTGTGTTTATATGCGCGCCATTGTGAATACTTCGTGATATTATGTGTCTTGAGAATGTTGAGAGCTTTAAATTTATACAGCGGTAAGGTAGCAACATAGACGTTTAGAAAAAAGGTGGGAAATTTTTCCATTTAAAAACTACTAGGGATTTATTAAAACAAAAAGCAGCATACTTTCATAGATTTAATATAGATTACCGCATAGTTTTTTCGAAATTCCATTTAAAAATATTCAAAATACTTTTTGAAGGTTTTTAAAAAATTCAAGGTGTTCGGTTTGCTCTTAACAATAAATACATACCTTGTATTTATTGCACGAGACGGGCATATTTATTGCCAATTAGTAAAGAAAATTCCAGGAAAGAGGACTTTGGTAAGTCTAGAGACTAGTATCTGGGTAATAAAATAAATAGAACTATCTCAAGTATATGTTTATTTCAATATATATTATCCTGTTATAATTTATGTGTGAATCTACTAATGCAGGTGACACATTTGAATCTGTTAAGCCTACTTTAAAATTTGTTAGTGAAGTTAAACTTAAGTATAATTACAATTTCTTAAAATACATAATATGGAACTTTATTGGAATTATAAGTAAACTTTTTTGAAAATGGTTATTTATTATAACTTAGATGCATTCTCTAAAACTTCATAAACTCTTTTTAATTTTTCCTTATTTTCATGAAGATTAATAGACAGATTTATCACCAAACCCGCCTCAGTTATAAGAAAATGTATCCCGTGCTTTTTACAATATTCATGTATCATTTCTTCTCGTTCCTTCTTATTTTCTTCTATAACTGTAAATACCTTAAATGCACAATCCGGATCACTTTCTACTTTAAATTTGCAAGTTTCTTCTAAAAACAGTTGAAATTCTCTTGCAAAAACACGAATTTTTTGAGGTCGATCTTCCATTAACCTAAGCGATTCCACACATGCTTGAACCAAAAACGTTGGTAAAGAAGCTGAAAATATATATCCAGAACCCGATAGTCTTTGATGCTCTATCGCCATTTGTGAGCCCGCACAAATGCCCCCTATTGTTCCTAATGCAACTTCTAAAGAAGCAATGATCATATCTAGTCGACTGGGATCAATGTCGAAGTGTTCTGTAAGACCTCTACCATGTTTCCCATATATTCCTATTGAGTAGGACTCTTCAAGGAAAATCCGCATTTTGAAATCTTCGGCTACTTTTAGAAATTCCTCCAGAGGAAGCAGTTTCCCTAAAAACGAATTAATGCTTAAAACTCTCATACTATGTTTACCAACTGATTAATACTTCAGTATTAAATATATTCTCCTTCATTACAAAAAAGGAAAATGGAAATACTTCTATTTGATTTTTAAATATGCCTACATGAGTATAAAAATTAAAATGAAATAATGTATAATAACTTATAATAATAGCATGGAACCGGGTTCATATCCTGCCAGTAATGGGATTTTTCTAAATAGTTTAATCAAAAATTAATTCTAATGCATAGGTAGGATTTCTAATTAACAGTGCTATTTCCTAAAGTGCCGCTGGGAAACAGTAACAAAGTCTACACAGAACATAAGGCTAAAAAAACATGGAAGGAGCGTCTCTACTCTTTATTTTTAATACTGTTCATACCTGTTTTCCAAGAAACACCTTCAACGATAAGAAATTTTCTTTTTGGTTTTTTCTCCTTTTTTACCACTTTTTCCACTTCAGCTCTTAGACTCTTTGGATCATTATGATCAAAGTAGACGACAGTACTTCTGGCTGCTAACAAACCCTGTCTTATAGGAAAGTTAGCCTCTTTGTCGATAAAAACAACATCACTTCTCTTGCAATATGCTGCAATTGAACTCGAAATTGCAACAAAACCATATGAATAAACAATAGAGTCTTCCATTCTAAGAAATTCCGCCATTTTTTGCTCAAGTTCCAAGTGAACATCTGTTGTGCCTAGGAATGAAAATTATTTTTACTGTTTAGCTTAAACGCCTTTTATTACAAGGTACTTTAAAACATTTTTGTAATTTGGAAACAAGTGTTTGGTAAAGATAACTAAACCGTTTTGGTACCTCTATTTTGTTTTTACTAAAAATAGCTTTGGGGCATGCAATTATCTTGTATTCCTCCTATTAGTAAAATAAATAAAAAATTAAGACAGTAATAATTCTATTGAATTAAAACAAATCCTGACCATCAAGGTGCTCTGCTAGTTTTGAATGAAGTCAACAGAGCCCCTCAGTTATTTTCCAAAAATAACACCATATTTTCAGGCCTTAAAATATTATAAAAGCTTTACAAAACCGAGATGCACTGCTGACTTCGTTCAAAGCTCCATGTATTTTTTAAAAATAATTTTTTTTTCAAGAACCTAAAAATAGCTTAAAAATATGGTGTTTTAAAAAAAAAACCCTTCAAAAACTGAAGTGCTCTGCTATTTTGATTTTTGCAAAAAAATGAGGAGCATATAATTTTTGAATAGGGTATTAAAATAGCCTAAAAATAAATATGGCATAGGTTTCAACTCAAAATTCCATGAGTGCTCAGCTGCCTTTTTTGGCATATATTTATCAGTCCTAAAAACATTCTTCATGTTACTAAGAAAAAGTTATTTCATGGCATTTAAATGAGGTAGCATTTCTGTGTAACGTTTGAATTTTATTTATCAAATTAAGTACCAATTGAAATTACAAATTATAGTTAGGTACTCATTTGTGTGAACACTAATCCATACCTTGAGTAATAAAAAAAAATGTATTTCCTACTATTAAATGAAACTTGATTACCTTGCAATGTACACTAAAATTATTACTAAATACAGGATATGTATTGATATCAATTTAAATTCATTTGAGGCTTCAGCTAAATGGCAATACCTTATTATCTAGAAGATAATTAAATAGTTTAACGTAGTTTTGCCACTATGCCAGGCATCATTTTTTGATGATGCTGACATGGAAAGTAAAACCTGCATTGAGATTGTATATTCAAAAAAATAATAAATAAAAGAATGCTTATTTACAATTTGAGAAAAAAAAATCACAAATTATACCAATAACAGGGGTATCTTACTATCAAATTTAAATAAATATTTCAAAGACCACTATATTCATATTGATGTGTACATTAGATTAACCAAGGGACCTAGCAACGTTGATTAGCAAATTCCATTATTTTAAGATTTTTTTTTTGTAAAGCATTTGCCCTTATTTTCTAGAAAGCGTCACTGTATATTTAAACTATTTAGCTGATAGCAATTGTAGTATCTATAATTTAACTTTCTTTAACAAACATTTAGAATTAATTGTAGGGTCCAATTACAATAAGAACACAGCTGTATCATTATTTTGCAAATAATAGGTAATATAGGAAATATTTAGTTATACTTAACAACTTATTCTTTATTTGAATATTCAAAGTAAAGGTTATGCCTTAGCAGTGTTTCTTCTTATTGTAATCAGACTACTCTTTTCTATTTTTAAATTCTCACTTTATATAGGCCTTCTTAGTGTATTTACTTATAATGAACAGTTTCATTTTAGAATGTATAATTCTGTCTTGAGCGATTTAAATTTTTAATCATATTTATTTGGATATTAATACCTATACCTCCTTCAATGTATTAAACAGGCCCTCATTCTATTTAACTATTTAAAATGAATTTATCTTTTCATAATCTTACCGTAAAAAGCTCTTGGTCCACATGTTCCAACTCCATATTTCCTTATAATATTCTCTGCAGCCTTTTTAATTTCATTATTATCCAAAAAATTTAAAAAATTAGTTTTTACCAGGTCAATATTATTTTCATCTTCTGTTATTGTGTAAGATTCTATAGAATCCTTTGTTTTATTGTAATCTACATCAACCAAAGGCTCAGGATTAAATTGTGCCAAACGTTCTTGTAATATTTTTTCATTCAACATTTTTATTCATTAATTTTTAACTATCTGGAAATATGTCAGTGGCGTATTTTATTACGCTCAACTTTAATATACTTGGGCAGCTGCTTTTATTGGATAAAATGTAGTTTAAATTTCACAATAAAATACTTGATTTAATTTCATGTTTGTACGATCGTAAATGACGTTAGACGGGGCGGTGTCATTGTCAGAAATTCTTCTATTTCTTCTTTTTTAATGTTTCTGGTCTTGTACGTCATAGGCGTACAACGACCTGAAAATATTTGTTATACCGGGGTCCCACGAAGATTACGTGATTTTTACAAAACGAAACTGTTTTAAAATTGTAGATTTGTAGATTAAGATCTATTTGAGTACGGTTTTTTTGAAATATTTGTACTTTTTAAGTTGAAATTAAATATCGAAAAAAAAAAACATTATTTAAAGTATGCATGGTTTGCGCGGTGCTCTTTGCAAAGTTGAGGCATCGTGTGTAGTATAGATTTGACTACATACTTTTTTTGTCAGTTGACTAAAATTAAAATATACAATAAAATAAACAAAATTAATTAAATCCAAAACCTATTTAAATTTAACCTAAATCAAAAGAACATTTTAACTAGCGGATCGATTAATATTTAACGTTGGTATGAGTGGCATTTGAATCCAGAATAATGATGCACCGAGTGTGAAATAACTTCGTGTTAATTGACCATCCCGAACACTAATTGTATGTATTAAAAAAGAAAGGTACATTCACTGCACAGGCGAGTCAGTAGCACTCAAACCAATTGCAAAAAAACGCAAAAAATCTCGCCTGCGCGTACGTGCGTACATGCGTAGACGACAATGTTACTAGGCAATTTCTTCCCCCTTTGAACAATATAGTTTCAGGCATAGGTACTGCCGTGCTTGTGCAATTATAAAATAACAAATATTTTTCTATATTTTCTTGAAGGTCAATTAGGGTTTTTTAAAGTTATTTAGATGTATGTGAATAGCTATTTATAAAACCAGTTACTAAATGCCTTATTTTATGTAACGAGTGAGTATTTGCGGGATGAGCGGAGCGAGGTCCCGCAACATGAACGAGTTAGAAAACTTGTCACTGAACAGATCGGATTTTTCCATGAACTAACAACAGGAACAGGTGCTTTTATTATAATTGTTATCAATTTGAAAATTTCAAGAAAATCAAGCTTTATAAGAAAATGGAGCCTATTGATTTAAAAAAAAAATCTGAATAAAAATAGAGGATTGATTGGGGTTGAAATAAAACCTAACTCAAAAACGAAAAATAAAATGATTATTAACTTGAAATTTTTAGCAAAAAACAAGTTCTGTAAGGTTCAAAGCCCTTTTATTCTGAATAAAAGCTGATTAAAAATGGGGGATATAAGAGGGGTTGAAATTAAAAAAATCATAAATCAAGAATGAAAAGCGATATCAACATGAAATTTTTAGTAATAATCAAGCTCAACAAGGGATTAAAGCCTATTGATTCTAAAAAAAATTGAGTAATAATGGTCGTATAAGGGGTGAAATATATTGTTGATGGTGTATTTTTATTAAATAAACACTACATTAACACATTGAAAGTTTTTGTTTTTGTTAATATTCTTAGTTGATAAACTATTGTGATGTTTGTTTACTTTAAAACAACAGTTTATTTATTTATTTAAACACTTATTTATTTTATAACACTACTATTTTAATTTATATATATTTCGAATGTCTTTGAATCGTTCACTATTTATATTCACCACTGTCTATCTACTAATTACTATTTATCTTCACTGTCCATATAATAACTAATTCTGATGGCTCATCCACCAATATTTATATACAAATTTAAAAAAATTGGCGAATGTTCTAGTAAGTTCACATATTTTCTCCAATACACACTAGAAACATTATCTCGTTCTTTCTCGAACATCATCGAAAGCACCTCCACCATAGTCGTCCCATAGGTGTTTGGTCTTAAGGGGTTTAATTATGTATAATAAGCGGACAAGTTGAGCCTCAAAGGCCAAATAATACAGAGATGGACTTGGAGTATTAGAGCATGACTGAATAATGAAATGGCTCACATTACACTATGAACATGAAAAATTGTTGTGAATCCCTTCGGTGTGGATGAGAGAATGTTTAGAGTTCTGTTGATCGCGTAATTCAAGCTGCCAATAGTTGTCGGTGTTGCGAGATCTGGTCGAAATATGTGAAGATAGGTATTTGTGATTAAACATATCGCCCTCCTTGAAAGCTCGTAGGGCTTTAAATTGACTCGTTAATAGGTAGTATGCATAACTTTGTAGCAGGTCGTTGATAGGTACCATTTCTGGTTTTTATTGTAGCAGTTCTTACCACTCCGTCTTGACCAGGGAAAACTTCTGAGACTCGTCCAAGTAGCCATTTCAAAGGTGGGAGATCATCGTCTTTGATGAGTTATTGGGATTGTTCCATTTATAACGAGATTGCAATTGGGAAATATAATCCTTGGACCAGCGTTTCCAAAACATTTGAACCATTTTTTGAATTTGTTCAAACTTGGGAAGTCGGTTATCAGGCAATTGGAGGTAACTTGTTTCTGGAATAGCAGTTAGAGCATCTTCACTGAGGAACTGTGCGGTTGTGAGTGGAGAAGGATCATTAGGGTCATCAGACATGGGGTATAAGGGTATAGAGTTCAGGATTGATTCAATTTGAATCAATATTGTAATGAATTCTTCAAAGTTTAAGTTAGTTTCACCGATTACCCTACGAAGGTGATGTTTGACGGATTTAACATTACTTTCCCATATTCCACCAAAGTGTGGGGAGTTAGGTGGGATAAATTTCCACGAAATTCCTTCACTAGATAAGTTTTGATTAATATAAGTAGTTTCTTGTTTAAAAAATAATTTTAGTTGATTATTGGCGCCGACGAAATTGGTACCATTATAAGAATACATTATTGACAGTTTTAACTTTCATTAAGTCACCGACTAATTCTAAATGCAGTGCCTTAATGGATAGGCATATAAATAAACATATATATATGTCTTTTAACAAGTTTGTAATTCCGAGTGACTCTGTCTTTAAGGTTAAAAGGACCAGCATAATCCACTCCAGTAAAAAGGAACGGTCTGGAGGGGGTGACCCTCTCTGGAGGGAGTTCGCCCATCAAGGGTTGAATTGGTTTTGCATTAAGCCTAAAACATATGACGCATTGACGTATGAGCTTTTTGACTAAATTTCTGCCATTTAAAGGCCAGAAACGTTCTCTGACGGAAAACAAGGTTTGTTGAGGACCAGCATGCTTAACCTATTGTGATTAAACAAGGGGGGTTGAAGTATTGAAAAAAAAAACTATTTTAGAAACAAAAAACTATATCAAATTGAAATTTTCAGGAAAATAAAGCTTTATAAGGGGATGAAGCCTATTGATTCTGAAAAAAATCTGAATAAAAATGAAGGGTTAAGGGAGTTTGAAATATTTAAAAAAAACCTAACTAAAAACGAAATATAATATCAACATGAAATTTTTAGCAAAAATCAAGCTCTGTAAGGGGAAAAAGCCTATTGATTTAAAAAATGTCTTAAAAATGGCGAGTTAAGGGGGCCAAAATCACTTAGAATTAATAAAGTACATGAATATATAACTTCACCTAATAATTAATTGAAAACTTATTGATGTAATTACATTTTGTGGGTAGTAGTAATTACTTAATTTGAATATGAAAGTACATTTTTGATTACTACAACTTACTTTATTCTAGGAAATATCCAAACAAATATGAAAGTATTATCAGTACATTATGCGAAAATTTGGATACTCTTGATGAACCAGAAGCCAGGGCTAGCATGGTGTGGATTATAGGAGAGTACGCAGAGAGAATCGATAATGCTGACGAACTTTTGGATAGTTTTCTGGAAGGTAATATTTGCACTGTCTCCAAAAAATAAATAATTTCTCAATTATAAAGGATATATTTATTTTATAAAAACAGGAAACTGAATATTTTCTTCAGTAGGTACTGATTAATTGATATTTTTCCAGGTTTTGGCGATGAGAATGCTCAAGTACAACTTCAATTGTTGACTGCTGTAGTGAAATTATTCTTGAAACGACCTCAACACACTCAGGGCTTAGTTCAGCACGTACTAAGTTTAGCAACTCAAGATTCTGATAATCCCGATTTGAGAGACAGAGGTTTTATCTATTGGAGGTAAGACAAATATATTTATTTAATAAATTTTTAATCACACAGTAATATTTTGTAGATTATTAAGTACCGATCCTGCTGCAGCTAAGGAAGTGGTGCTTGCAGACAAGCCCCTCATTTCCGAAGAAACGGATCTCTTAGAACCGACCCTTCTTGATGAACTGATTTGTCACATATCATCGCTGGCTAGCGTTTATCACAAGCCACCCACAGCATTTGTAGAAGGTAGAAGTGCTGGAATACGAAAAACATTGCCAGCTAGACAAGGTTCTGCAGATGATAGTGCTAGCGCTCCGGAGACCACTGTCATACCGAACCAAGAAAGTCTGATTGGAGATTTACTTTCTATGGATCTTAACGCTCCTGCACCCTCCATGGCGGCTCCGGCCGCTGCGCCAACCAGTAATGTCGACCTTCTTGGTGGTGGCTTAGATGTATTGGTATGTATTTATTTATTTATTCACGGGTAACTCCATTTAAAAAGAATACATTAACAGCAGACAAAATAAATACTAAATTAAGTACTAAACTAAATACTAAAGATATAGGTAATACAAAATATAAGAGTGCGGATTCATGCAATGGAGATGCTTCCGTATTTGGCAATGACCAGTCAGAATGCCTGTGATCAGGCGCAGATTCTGTCTAGTCATAGTCAAGAGTTTGTTTGCTGTGGTGTTGACAGGATAACTTAAAAGCTCCCCTATACTTCAATATTGTAATGGTATCAATAGGGGTGATCTTTCTTTTCAAATAAAATATTGTATAGGACCTTTCAATAGGATAAGTTGTACTATTAAATTATGAAATATGTATCAAATTTAAACAATTATAGAAATAAATATATTATTTAAGATAGAAAGTTAGATAATAATATGTATTTTTGTTGAGATTTCATGAACTAGGACATTTTGTAATTGAACAGTTACTAGTAAAACCTATAAAGGACTAAATCAGTGTAAAAGAACGGTTTTAAGAGTATTTATAAATTTTAATTTAAAATATTATGGTAAATGGACATTTTATGAACAAAAATCGTTAAGTGAATATAACATCAAGAATTTAGGGGCATTTTGGTAAAAACATGCTATTATTAACTTGTTTAAATCAAAGAAAATATGGAATTATTGGTAACAAAACCTAGATTAAAATAAAGAGGAAGTATCAGAGAAAACGATGATGGGGAAAAGTTATATGGGAAAAGTAAATTAAGACTACAATGTTCAAATAAAAAAGGTCAAATAATGAATTTTATTCAAATTCTAAGAAAAACAATGACAAATTATGTCAAAATGAAAGAAATTTCTTAATTTCCATGGTATGTGTAGCACTCCAGAATCCAAGGGCACTACGAGATATCTAGGAGGATATCAAATAGAAGAGGGAGATTTACCTAACTTGAAGCCACTTCAAATCCTACACTTCCTTGAGAAAATAGGATTGGAAGGGTCGTTATAGGCGTTGAGACATTTCCTTAGTGCATTGGCGACAGAAGGGGACACAATAGATCTTTTAGGTCGAAGTGTATTAACAGCCCATTCTCAACATAACATAATTACCATGGAAACAGAAAAACTTATAAATAGAAGTACCTAAAATCAAGGGAGTCAGTCTGTAAAAATCTTTGAAGGGAGCACATCGCAAAAAGTTGGTAAAATTGAGAAGAAAAATCAACTTTTCCATGACGAATTTGCAGTTTGGCTTGTTGTCAAAATAACATTCAGCTAATGGGAATCTTATTTCGTGTTGGAGGTAGCAGAGTCCAGTTTTCTTTATAAAACCATCAATGTAAGAATATTCCAGTTTTATTTTCTAATCCAAATTTGATCTAATCGAATAAAAGCATGCTATAAATAAATGAACTAAGGTTATGTATAGAGTTACTCACCTTAAATCAATAATACTTTTCCCATAAATGAAAAATCCGCCAAGAGTCGAACGGGCTATTTTTTTAAAGACCATTTTAGACCCGCTATGGGCAGCACCGGTGGGGGGGGTACATATGTTTTGAATTTTCTATTAACAACAACGTCAAACGTATAGATTTATAATGGAAATGAACGGAAAATGATGTACCTGAAGCGAAATCGAAAGTTGCAAAAGTGCAAGATCAGAGGCTAAATCATTATTTAATTGGGATTATTGATTACTATTAGCATTTTTATTACAAATTTGTAGTGATTCAACATCAGTAACAGTAGAACAGATAAGTTTTTGATGTTTATTTTTTCCAGTGCTTGAGTCCTCTTCAATACATCGTTACTGTCTTTTATATTTCATACACAATTAAAAAGAAGTTTAAGTTCATTATTTACTATCAATAATGATAATAATATGTAAACTGATATAAAATATAACCTCTTTAAATAAACAATTACTAACCTTTGAAACTGTCGCTGGCAATGAATTTGGGTTTTCTATTGTTGGTCCATTTGAATTAATAAAATGTCTTGTACAAATAAAAGTATGTTTTTTTTATTTTTTTAACTTTTAAATCTGCCCTTCGTGATAAATGTATCCACTCCAAACACTTTTTTTTGTCAACTTGTGGTTTTATAACAGGCACAAATTTTACACCATCTTGCTTGTAACGATTATCAGACGTACAATTTGCAAACGCACAATGTTTGGTAGACATGAAAATTTGTTTATTAATTTTATTTATCACAATATTTATTCTAATAATAATAAAACGTACGTTTGACGTTGTTGTCAATAGAGAATTCGAAACATATGTACCCCCCACCGGTGCTGCCCCTAGCGGATCTTTTTTAAATATTCCCAGGAAAAAGGCTAATTGAATTTTGAATTATTAAAAATAAAATAATTTTTGTTGAAATTTATATTTAAGTTTTAATTAGAGCTATTCTGAGTAAAATAAGGTAAAAAAGATAATATTTAAAAACAAAAAAAAATAATATCGATATAACAAACTATCGCAATATAAATAGAATATTTTAACAAACACCTTGTATTACAGATTTTGAAAAATGTTGTTTTATTCAGAAACCTCATCGTTAAATTTGCTTTCAACCTCCCAATGTCCACAGGTGTACCGAGTTCTTCTCCGTTATATAATATTTTATACATTAAACATTGTATGCATTTTTTGTATTGGTTTTTGCAAGAACGTATTGGAAAATCTAATAAAATTAATAACTAGAAGTGGAAGTCAATCATGGATTTTAACTAAAGCTTAAAACTCTTTTCATAATTATTAAGGTTTCAAAAGTCATCCGTGAAGAAATGTATTTATTTATTCTGGTAAAAAGTAAAATACAAAAATTTGAAAGACAAATAACGAAATAAAAATTTTTTTGTAGTAGTACACATGAAATAGAAGAAGAGTTTAATAATTGATTTTTACAAGTAGGTGAATCCTCTGGAAATTTTCATATAAAATAATTTGTTTTCAAGTAACCAAATTCTAACATGAGCATTGATAAAATTACAAATTACTGACTTGCTTTCTAAACTCCGGAAATTCATCACTCGGTTTGTTCTACTGTATACTAAGTACGAGATTGATAATTATTTTTCCTCACTCTTTATAATTTCATATTGCGGCATAACAAACTTTAAACGAACTCTATAAATTCAGTTAACATTACATTTATTCAATTCATAACTTTTGTTATTATTTTAGTTGGGAGGAGGAAATGATATCAGTGGTGTTCCCACCACCGCAGCTGCGCCGACAACCACAGGTCTCCTGGGCGATATCTTCGGAATACCTTCCGCCCCTACCATGTACACTCCTCCCAAAATTCTTTGGTTGCCTGCTGAAAAAGGCAAGGGATTGGAAATTCAAGGTACTTTCTCCAGAAGATCTGGACAGATGTCGATGGATATGACTTTAACAAACAAGGCCATGCAGGTAAATATTAATATTTTTTAATATTTAAATGTCTGAAACAATGTATAACTTATAAATAAACAAAATAATAATTACGAAAATAACTGCAGAATTTAATTATATTTTCAGGCAATGACAGGTTTTGCTATCCAGTTCAACAAAAACAGCTTCGGTATCATGCCCCACGCTCCATTTAGCGCTCCTCCATTACAACCAGGACAAAGTCTCGAATATTCTATGCCCTTGAACACCACAGGTCCAGTGCAACGCATGGATCCATTGACCACTCTTCAAGTGGCAATTAAGAATAACGTTGACGTTTTTTACTACGCCTGTCAAATTCCAATTCAAGTACTATTTTCTGAAGATGGAACATTGGATAAAAGAGTATTCCTTACCACTTGGAGGGACATTCCTGGAGCCAACGAGGTCAGTAATACAATTAATCTATAATATTTATGACTGTATTGTTTCTATAAATGAATAATCGAGGATTAAACTAAGTTTTGGGAAGAAGGGGTAAACTAAACTTTTGAGATTGCTGATTACGAATTTAATTATTGCCTCCGATTTTGAGTTTCAACGCCGAAAACAAAAATGGATCATAATAATAGGCAATCTGCAATTATTATACTTTTCACACAGTAGTCTGTAGATTTAAAAAAAAATACTTTATTGTCCAAACAGGTTAAACCCCAATTAGAGGACACATACAATAAAAAAATATATGTATACATATAATTATTCCTAATTTACAGAAAATAACTTAAAATACTTAAATTAATAGCTTTGTGCTTCACATAATTATTCAAACTGACACTTTAAAATCTAACAAAAGAATGAAACTATACCTATTTATTAATATTGTCTGAGTAAATACTCATTGATTTTACGTTTAATGCTTGTAAGAGAGTCAAAGTTTATGTCCAAATTTAATTCAGCTGCATATCTATTAAAATTGTTGCAAATTGTATGGATAGGTGAATTTGTCAAAACATTTGTTCGAGGTGTGGGCAAGTAAAATACCGATTTATATCTTGTATTGAAATGCGGTACACTAAATTTAATTTGGGATAGCAGGTCTGGACAGTCCAATAAATTATTAACTACTTTATATGTTAACTACTTAAGTTGGAACCATATGGAAAACATTTTTATTATTGATTTTAGGAAAAAAAGTTATTCTTGATAAAAAGTCCTGCATGACCCAAAACCTAAAATACAGTCATCACATATCAAATTTTTCAAGCCGTATACGAGGTTTGTCAAAAAATATGAATTTTGCTCAAGAGTACGTTTATTTTTGACAAAATCGAAAATTTTCATTAAGAAAAGTTGATTAGAATTGAATATTACATTCAAATATGCAATTACACCGATCTATCTGAAAAAACAGATTTTCTTATTTTTTATAAACTCTACACTCTACACATTGATTGTAAATATCTGAAAACGTTATAAATTACGTTAGCTACTATAAACATGATACGCTTTCCTTTTGTTGATGTTTGTGAAGAATTTAGCAAATTTCTTAATGAAAATTTTCGATTTTGTAAAAAAATAAACGTACTTTACTCTTGAGCAAACATTTTTATTATTGATTTTAGGAAAAAAAGTTATTCTTGATAAAAAGTCCTGCATGACCCAAAACTTAAAATACAGTCATCAGATATCAAATTTTTCAAGCCGTATACGAGGTTTGTCAAAAAATATGAATTTTGCTCAAGAGTAAAGTACGTTTATTTTTTTACAAAATCGAAAATTTTCATTAAGAAATTTGCTAAATTCTTCACAAACATCAACAAAAGGAAAGCGTATCATGTTTATAGTAGCTAACGTAATTTATAACGTTTTCAGATATTTACAATCAATGTGTAGAGTGTAGAGTTTATAAAAAATAAGAAAATCTGTTTTTTCAGATAGATCGGTGTAATTGCATATTTGAATGTAATATTCAATTCTAATCAACTTTTCTTAATGAAAATTTTCGATTTTGTCAAAAATAAACGTACTCTTGAGCAAAATTCATATTTTTTGACAAACCTCGTATACGGCTTGAAAAATTTGATATGTGATGACTGTATTTTAGGTTTTGGGTCATGCAGGACTTTTTATCAAGAATAACTTTTTTTCCTAAAATCAATAATAAAAATGTTTTCCATATGGTTCCAACTTAAGTAGACACACTGTATATAAAAGTTATTCCCTGCAGTACAGGTTTACTTTGTCCGTCCATCTGATGTCACGTTTTTTGTCCTCACGATAAGTTAAAAACGATAAACGATATCAACTTGAAAATTTCAGGAAAAATCAGGTTCTATAATGGGACGAAGGGTATTGATCTTGAAAAAAAAAACCGAAGAAAAATGTGTGGTTAAGCTGGGTTGAAATATTAAAAAAATCCTAACTCAAAAGCGAAAAATGATATCAAATGTTTAGCAAAAATCAAGCTCTATTTAGGGACAGTCTATTCATTTTGAAAAAATCTGATCAAAAATGGGGGGTTAAGAGGGGTTGAAATAAAAAAAATCATAAATCAAAAACGAAAACCGATATCAACATGAAATTTTTAGTGAAATTCAAGCTCTATGAGAAGATAGGGCATATTGATTCTGAAAAAACTTTGAATAAAATGGGGGTTAAGGGGGTTGAAATATTTAAAAAAATCCTACCTCAAATACGAACAATATCAACTTGAAATTTTTGGCAAAAATCAAGCTCTATAAGGTGATGAAACCTATTGATTCTGAAAAAAATGTTATTGAAAATGGGGTGAAGAGTATAACATACAGTGAGCACCATAAGTCTTACCCCCCCTATCTAACTCGTTACTGGAGTCTTGTTAGGAAAATCGCCGAGACACGTCGATTTTTGATTTCTACAATGTACATTTTCGTATAAATAGTTTACCCTTAATTTCATCCCTTACTGGAGGGGAGCAACCCTTTCGAAAAAATTAAATGGCATGTGGTGGTGAGTGATAGCTCATTTGAAAGAGGGTTTTATTCTCTATTCAACCGTGTAAAAAAAATTGAAATTTGCTTCATTAATTCTCGACTAATTGTTGTTTCAGAATAACGGAAATTAACGTAGCGCACTCATCCTTAGAATTAAAATTCGGCCCTGCATGATTTCGGTTTTGGTTTAGAAGTGAAGTAAGACTTTTTGCCATTAGAAGGTCACTGTTAGTCCAGTTGCGTTCCTATTTTGTGAGGTTTTGTTATTTTTAAACATTAATAAATCAACACGTAATGAAGCAAATTTTAAATTTTTTTTGCACGGTTGAATAGAGAATAAAACCCCCTTTCAAATGAGCTATCACTCACCACCCCATGCCATTTAAATTTTTCGAAAGGGTTGATACCCTCCAGTAAGGGATGAAATTAAGGGTAAACTAATCATGCAAAAATGTACATTGTAGAAATCAAAAATCGACCTGTCTCGGCGATTTTTCTAACAAGACCCCAGTAACGAGTTAGTTAGTTAGTAAGACTTATGATGCTCACTGTAGAATGCCAAGCATTATATATCTTCATTCTAGTTATATAATGTTTCTAATAGTACAAATAATTTTAATTTTGCTGGTTTTATTAGTTTTAACAAGTTTTAACAAATTTAGCTCTTTTTTTTTTTGAAAGTAAACATAATAATGAAGTTCATAATATACAGGATGTTTTTGAAATACATGCTCATATTAAAACTTATTAATATTTAAACAATCCTCGAATGCACAAAAATGTATACAGGGTGTTAAAAAAAAGTGTCACAAAATAAAACGGGCCAAAATATGCAGAAAAGTCTTAATAAACATATGTCCGCAAATGGATGGTTTCAGAGATACGGAGTATTTTTCAGCTATTACCTTGTCCACACGCCACTGTGTTTACAGTAAAACACGCACCCTGTATTTCCGTAACGAAGCATTTTTGAGACATAGTGTATATGACAAAAATACATTTATTTTAGCTCCAGAATACGCTCCTGAGATTATGTACCGTACTTATCGAACACCCTATAAACATAATTTTTTGAAATTCACTATTAGTTTTGTCACTCCCTACTGGAGGGCAGCACCTCTATAAATTAAAAATTATATTTTTTCAAATTTGAATTCTTCAAAACGTTTTAATATTCACTGCCAGTATCCATTTTGCTTTTGTGAATATTAAAAACTTTGGCAGTTTTTTGACTTTGTAATGTAGGCTTATTAATATTTTTAGTATCAATATTTTAACATGTGACGTTTTAATTTTAATGTTTTTTAACTCTCGACAAAAACCAATGCTTTTTTTAAAAAATAATAAATTTTCATTTCGCCTCTATTCTTTCAAAATTGTAATCCAGTAGTTTTATCCCTAGTGGATAAAGAAAGTTTTTTATTATACTATATAGTCATTTCTTTGTCTTTTACCATTTTGGTGTTGATGGTTTGTTCCAACATATATTTTTTCAATATTCGTTAAAGAAATTTCCCACTTTTTCTTTTCGCTTTTTACTCATTTTCTACTTTTTCATTCATTTAGTACATTAATTTGATTAATAATTTTTTGTTAGTGTGAATAAATAAATGCAAGTAGTATTAGTATATTAATTTTTTTAATTTTGCCTAAACTAAATCAATCAATCAATATTCCATCATTTTTGCCTTTTTTTTTAATTTTAACGTTTTAATTTTTGGCTAACACCTTAAAACTTATCAATTCCCACTTTTCTCTTACCCACTAGGTGTGCCTGATAATGAAGTGAACAAACTTCGAAACCGGTCGCCGTTCAAATAAAAATTTCTTTGTGGGATATAAAGGACCTGTTTTCTTTCTTTTTCCCACCTTTAAAAAGGTATTTGATTGACAAAGGCACTTTTTTTCCTGTTCGTTGTGATAGGTTTGTTATAATTTGATTCCACGTCTGGCAAAGGCGCCACTGTGTTTATGGGAAATGTTCATTCCTGTGCCTTTTTAGATACAGTGAACTTTAAAATAATGGTTGGAAAATGGGAATTTTAATGTTTTAAAATTTGAGAATTTCATGGCAAAATGTTGACGATCGTTTTTAAATACATTCTTTATTTTAGGGTTTAATATTTATTTAAAATAATTATGTGGTTTAATTGTCAAATAATAAAAATAATTATCTACCCATTTGGGGCGTTAAATCTTAAAATCCATGGCAGTACACAATTGATTTTAATTGGCTTTCTCAACTTACTTATAAGCTGTATTTACCCCTCATTCCTCCACGTTGGTTTAATCAAAACGATTTTGATTTTTTACTATGCCCATAAATTAAAATCCTTACCTTTTTGAGTTTTGATTAAAAACATTTTATTATCTGAATTTGTCAGGAATTAATTTTTTTATTGAATTAAAAAAATATATATGGGGTAAGTAATAATTTTAGTAATGTAAGCAGTCTACGTTTTTGTGAAACCC